CAATTGATAGATATTAGGCGATTTAGCGGGCACGGGTTGGCTCAAGCCTGTAAATGCCAGGCACCTTGGGAGCTGAGCGGGCGGATACGAGGTCAGGAGATTCCAGACATCCTGGCTAAACCACGGTGAAACCCGTCTCTTACTAAAACAATACCAAAAAACTTAGCCGGGCGGGGTGGGAGGTGGGCGGGGCGCCTGTAGTCCCAGCTACTCGGGCGAGGCTGGGCAGGAAAGGCCCGTAAACCCCGGGAGGTGAGCTTTGCAGTGAGGGCTGAGATTCCGGCCACTGCACTCCAGCCGGGCGACAGAGACAGACTCCGTCTCAAAAACAAAAAAAAAAAAAAAAAAAGGGATAGATACTTAGGATTTAAAAATTTCTATAGACATATTTTATTTACATATATCTTTGGCTACTATTTGATCTTCTTAGGATAAATGTTTAGAAGACTTACTGGCTGGCAAGGATGGCCCATGTCTGTAATCCAGCACTTGGGGAGGGCCAAGGCAAGAGGATTGCATAAGGCCAGGAGTTTGAGGCTAGCTGGCAACACAGCAAGATCCCATCTTCATTTATTAAAAAAAAAAAAAAGGAAGAGGCTTCACAAAGCCTTTTCTTTTCTTTTTTTTTTCTTTCTTTTTTTTTTTTTTTGAGACAGAGTCTTGCTCTGTCATCCAGGCTGGAGTGTAGTGGGGTGATCTGGGCTCACTGCAACCTCTGCCTCCCAAATTCAAGCAATTCTCCTGCCTTAGCCTCCCGAGTAGCTGGGTCTACTCGGTGCGTGCCACCATGCCTGGCTAATTTTTTTTAATCTTTAGTAGAGATGGGGTTTCACCTTGTTGGCCAGGCTGGTGTTGAACTCCTGGCCTTAAGTGATCCACCCACTTTGGCCCCCAAAATGTCACGATACAGGCGTTGAGCCACTGTACCTGGCCCAAAGTATATGCATTGTTTTCAAGACTTCTCCAAATTGCCAAATTCTTTAGTTATCTTTTCCTCAGATACTTGCCAACATTAGGCGCTAGTCTAATCTGTGCCTTTTATCTGATACTTTTTCTGGTTTTGACATTAAACTGGTGTTTTTACAGCACTAACAACTAGATCAATGTGTACAGAGTAAACTAGAATTAGTTTTCAGTTCCAGGAGAGAATGTAGCAAGAGCTTCCTTCCCCAGGAGTAAATCCTAAGTATCTATCAATGGGGAATGGTTAAAATATTATGGTAGGCTGGGCGCGGTGGCTCACACCTGCAATCCCAGCACTTTGGGAGGCCAAGGCAGGAGGATCACTTGAGGCCAGGAGTTCACAACCAACCTGGGCAACAGAATGAGACCTCTATCTCTACAAAAAAATTAAACAAAGAAAAAGCCAGGTGTAGAGACACACACCTGTAATCCCAGCTACTTGGGTTTGGGAGGATCAATGGAGTCCAGAAGTTCGAGGTTTCAGTAAGCTATGACAGTGCTACTGCACTTCAGCCTGGGCAATGGAACAAAACTCTGTCCCTAACCAAAACAAAACAATAACCACAGCTATACATACACACAAACACACACAAAATGATACCTCCACACAAAAGAATTATTGTTAACCATTAAAAATGATGTAGATGAGGCCAGGCGTGGTGGCTCACACCTGTAATCCCAACATTTTGGGAGGCTGAGGCAGGCGGACCACAAGGTCAGGAGATTGAGATCATCCTGGCCAACATGGTGAAACCCTGTATCTACTAAAATTACAAAAATTAGCCGGGTGTGGTGGCACGTGCCTGTAGTCCCAGCTACTCGGGAGGCTGAGGCAGGAGAATCGCTTGAACCAGGGAGTCGGAGCTTGCAGTGAGCCGAGATCGCACCACACTCCAGCCTGGCAACACAGCGAGAGTCCATCTCAAAAAAAAAAAGAGCCTCTGGGCCCACCTCTTGTCTCCAGGGCTCCTACAGATAACACATCGGTCTTGGCCACTAAAATGTCCCACTGCCAGCTGAGAGAGAAAGATAAGGGCAGGCCCCCCTTTCCTCTGGAAGTTGTGTCATAGTCTGTGAACTTGGCCTCAAGAGGGAGATAAGAACTGGGTCAGGCTCACTTCCCCACGGAGATGCTTTCATGCCCAGTAGACACTTGCCCCAAATCCAGAGAAGCAGTAGGTGCTTTGCAAATATTTACCTAGCTACATGGCAACCGGGCAGTGCTGTCAGAGTTCTGTGTCATTTCAGGGCCACACATCCCACACCCCATTCTCTCCTCCTACGTTACAAAGGCTACGTCCCTTCCCATGGCTACCTTTCCAAGTGTTCAAAACCATGTGAAGGTCAGACTCCTTTGATTTGTAAATCATGCCCTTAGCCAAGATTGAACTTCCAATGGAGAAAATTTTAGGTTTGCTTTCATGTGTGAGGTGAAATGACTGTCCCTCTGTCAGAGGCGTTTGAACCACAGCAACTCCATCTTGAAATGGAGCTGGGTAAAATAAGGCTGAGACCTACTGGGCTGCATTCCCAGATGGTTAAGGCATTCTCAGTCACAGGATGCGATAGGAGATCGGCATAAAACACAGGTCATAAAGACCTTGCTGATAAAACAGGTCGCAGTAAAGAAGCTGGCCGGCCAAAATCAACATGGCGATGCGAGTGACCTCTGGTGGTCCTCACTGCTAAACTCCCACCAGCGCCATGACAGTTTACAAATGCCAAGGCCACGTCAGGAATTACCCTATATGGTCTAGAAAGGGGAGGCATGAATAATCCACCGCTTGTTTAGCATATCGTCCAGAAATAACCATAAAAATGGACAACCGGCAGCCCCCAGGGCTGCTCTGTCTATGGAGTAGCCATTCTTTTATTTCTCTACTTTCTTAATAAACTTGCTTTCACTTTACTCTGTGGACTCACCCTGGATTCCTTCTTGTACGAGGGTCTCTTGGGGTCTGGATCGGGACCCGTTTCCGGTAACACCTTAGAGTTAAGAGTTCAGGTTCATCCTTCCCTTGTCAGGAGTAAGTATCATAAGCAACACAGCCTTTGCTTGTTGCTAGTTCTTTCTTTCTTTCTTTCTTTTTTTTTTTTTTTTTTGAGATGGAGTCTCGCTCTGTCACCCAGGCTGGAGTGCAGTGGCGTGATCTCGGCTCCCTGAAACCTCCACCTCCCAGGCTCAAGCGATTCTCCTGCCTCAGCTTCCCCAGTAGCTGGGATGACAGGCGCGAGCCACCGCGCTGGGCCCACAGCCTGTGCTAGTTCTGCCGCTGATCTTCCCACAGGTACATTGAAGAAACCCAGTGTTTGGCGCTTAAACACATCAGCAACAACAACGCACAGTAGAGAGCAGGCCCAGAGCACCACCCTCCCACGCTGTCCCTCCGGAGCTGAGGGGAAAACACCCAGTGCCTTCAGAGACCAGCTGCACCGAACCGCCTTCTCAGAATGAGGGAGGAACTGCTGGCTTGGGGATGTCTCCACGGCGCATTTCTAGAAAGACTTGGTGATAGAGAACACAAGAGGAAGGCCTAGGTCACTAAAAGCACAGGGAGCAATTCAGGCTATTGTCTCCGTGTAAATGGCGTGGTGAGCCGTGCCCCCGCCCCTGCTCGTAGCCTGAGGGCCTGGGGGAAGGCGGGCATCCACCTGGCACGGCCGGCCTCGGCCTTCATCGCCGCACGCGTGGGGCCATCTTGTGGCGCATCCCTTTCCCAGGCTGGAAGCAGCCACAGGCCGAATTCTTCCCGCCTTACAAATTTTGTGAAGTACAGTATTGAGACTATTTTTGATTCGTTTAAGAAAACAGCATGGCCAGGCGCGGTGGCTCACGCCTGTAATCCCAGCACTTTGGGAGGCCGAGGCGGGTGGATCGCCTGAGGTCAGGAGTTCGAGACCAGCCTGATCAATAAGGAAACCCCCGTCTCAACTAAAAATACAAAAATTAGCTGGGCGTGGTGGCAGGCGTCTGTAATCCCAGCTAGTCGGGAGGCTGAGACAGGAGAATCGCTTGAACCCGGGAGGTGGAGGTTGCAGTGAGCCAAGATCGCATCCAGCCTGGACAACAAGAGCAAAACTCTGTCTAAAAGAAAAAAAGGAAACAGCATTATGCTTAACAAATTAACGCAGAAACGGAAAATCAAATACCACATATTCTCACTTATTAAGTGGCAGCCAAACGTAGGGTACACATGGGCGGAAGGAGGGGAACAAGACATTGGGGACTCCCAGAGGGGAGAGGGAGGGAGAGGGGAAGGCATGAAAAATGACCTGTTGGGTACTGTGCTTACCGCCTGGATGAGGGCGTCAATCATACCCTAAACCTCAGCATCACACAATATACCCTTGTCACAAACCTGCACGTGTACTTCCGAATCTAACATAAAGGTGAAATTTTCAAATCAAAAAAGAAAGACAGCTTCAGCTTCCACTTACTTGAAAAAGAGTCCATGACACATGTTCCATTGGATCTAAGAGTTAATAAATATTCACTGCGACTTCCCCCACCCCAAAGTCAGCAATCATAAAATAGGAAGAAAATTTGAGGAAGGAGTTTGACAGTTCTGCAAAAATAAAAAATAAAAAGTTTTTTAAAATGAGAATGATGGACGGGCACAGTGGTTTATGCCTGTAATTCCAGCACTTTGGGAGGCCAAGATGGCTGATCACTTGAGGTCAGGAGTTGGAGACCAGCCTGGCCAACATGGTGGAACCCCATTTCTACTAAAAATACAAAAATTAGCCAGACGTGGTGGTGGACCTCTTGGTCCCAGCTACTCAGGAGGCTAAGGCAAGAGAATCGCTTGAATCCAGGAAGTGGAGGTTGCAGTGAGCTGAGATTGTGCCATTGCATTCTAGCCTGGGCGACTGAGCTAGACCCTGTCTCAATAAATAAATAAATAAATAAATAAATAAATAGAATAAATAAAACAACTTTTCTTTCTTTGAGGGAAAAAAACCTTCATCCAGAGCTTCAGGCCATAGACTATGTTGTACCAGCTCATGTCTGAATGGTTTAAAGGGAAGATAATTTTTCCAGACAAGGTCATGGATAGATTGGCTTCAGACAGACCACCTGAAACGAACCTGAGGTCTGGGTTTGTCTATTAACTGTTTTCATGTTGAGAAAGAATTAACCAGGCTGTCTGCATGAATCTTACATGCAAACGATGCAGCTGTCCCATTTACTTAGGAAAAAGGTCACCCAATTGACTGTGTACCTGCAGAACCAGGGCTGAGACAAAGGTGTCCTTGTTTTCAGGCCCCCAGTCATATCTGTTGATCTTAGTTCAGTTTAGAGAGTAAATCACACTGCTTAGGAGTGGTGTGAAGTCTGTGTGTTGTGAGGTTATGAAATCAAAGCGGGGGTCTGTGGCTGGGTAGTGGTGGGGAGTGGCACTGGAGTTCCAAGCCACTGGGTGTCTTTACAGTCTTACAGCAAATGGACCCTCAAATCCACCAGTACCTGTGAAACACCACAGCCCCCTAAAGCTTCAAACACCCTTCTCTCTTTTTTTCACTCTTCTTTTTTTTGATGGTGACACCACAGTGTCGAGTTTACAGAAGATGCTCAGTGAATGGTCTTGTGTGGTTGGCTGATCTCATCACAGTGCTAGGAGTACTCAAGGCCTGGGACATAGTGGCCCTTGAACAAATACCTGCTTGATCGTTTTTGTTTTTTTTTTCAATTAAGTCAGAATTCTCTCTTGCTCAAACTCTTTTTTTTTTTTTTTTTTTTGACAGAGTCTTGCTCTGTCACCCAGGCTGGAGTGCAGTGGTGCGATCTTGGCTCACTGCAACCTCCGCCTCCTGGGTTCAAGCGATTCTCCTGGCTCAGCCTCCGGAGTATCTGGGACTACAGGCGCGCACCATCACGCCTGGCTAATTTTTTTTGTGTGTTTTTTTGTGTGTTCACCACGTTAGCCAGGCTGGTCTCGAACTCCTGACCTCAGGCAATCCGCCCACCTCTGCCTCCCAAAATACTGGGATTACAGGCGTGAGCCACCGTGCCTGGCTGCTCAAACTCTTGAGTTCTTTTATTCAGATTAAGATTTAATGAACTGGCCAGGCACAGTGGCTCATGCCTGTAATCCCAGCACTTTGGGAGGCTGAGGCGGGTCGATCACTTGAGGTCAAGAGTTTGAGACCAGCCTGACCAACATGGTGAAACCCTGTCTCTACTAAACACGAAACATTAGCTGGGTGTGGTGGTGCACGCCACCACGCCCAGCTAATTTTTGTATTTTTAGCAGAGACGGGGTTTCACTCTGTTGGACACGCTGGTCTCGAACTCCTGACCTCAAGTGATCTGCCCACCTTTGCCTCCCAAAGTACTAGGATTACAGGTGTGAACCACTGCTCCCAGCCTGTCCCATCTTTTGAGCTATGCCTACACCTGGCTTTCAGAGAGTTGAGGTCAGAAACCTTCCTGAGACTCAAAGTCAGTTTCAAGCGCCCCCATTATTTTCCTGAGAGTTTATTGTGACACCTCATAACCATCTAATATAGTTTGGATGTTTGTAGCTGTAGTCCCAGCTACTCAGGAGACTGAGGTGGGAGAATTGCTTGAACCCAGGAGGCAGATGCTGCAGTGAGCCAAGATTGTGCCACTGCACTCCAGCAGCCTAAGCAACAGAGCGAGACTCTGTTTCAAAAAAATAAATAAAAAAGATGGGACAGAGAAGCCTCAGACAGCAGCATGAATCAGGTGAGAGATGGAGGCAGGATGTGGCTGGAGGGCTGGAGAAAAGTGAGATCAAAGGTCATGTAGTGGCTGGGTATGGTGGCTCACACCTGTAATCCCAGCACTTTGGGAGGCCGAGGCAGGAGGATATGATCCCAGGAGGTCAAGCCTTCAAGGATTCTAAGCATTATCTGTTGGTTAGAATCAAGTCACAGTTTTCACCTGCACTCCAGGGAAGAGGTTATACAAGGGCTCACCGGTAGTCACCTTGAGGTGTCTGCCAAGTCTATCATCATACTATACATTCTAGAAAAGCTCCTATATCCCAATTCAGATTGAAATTTTAAAAATCTGTTTATAAAGAGCAGCAGTGCCATCCACCTGATCATTTTGTGCCTTTATCTTGCAGGACAGATTCAGGTTTGGTGGCATCTACAGCTCTCACAATGCGAAATGCCCTCTTAAAACCACAGTTTTAAGGGCACGGTGGCTCACACCTGTAATCCCAGCACCTTGGGAGGCCGAGCCAGGCAGATTGCCTGAGGTCAGGGGTTCTAGATCAGCCTGGCCAACGTGATGAAACCCCATCTCTGCTAAAAATACAAAAATTAGCTGACTGTGGTGGTGCGCACCTGTAGTCCCAGCTACTCGGGAGGCTGAGGCACAAGAATCACTTGAACCCAGGAAGCAGAGAGTGCAGTGAGCCAAGATCGTGCCACTGCACTTCAGCCTGGCGACAGGGCAACACTCCGTCTCAAAAAAAACCAAAAACCCTAGTCTGCCAGGTGTAGGTGTTCCTCTGCTGTGCTCTATGCACAGGCATGTGTTTGTGTGTTTCTAATATCCTTTGTAAAGATGCGTTTGGCATTTAGCAGTGCATCAGGCTAATATTGCCTGGGAGGGCAATTTACAGTGGTTTCTGATTCTGTTAACGAATGGCATCTGCTAGCTCAGAGCTTGTAAGTATGATTTTGATTACTTTCCCTAAACTTATCATTTTAATTTGCCCACACCTTTACTTCATGTGTTAGTTTGCTGGGGCTGTCATAACCAAATACAACAGACAGGATTTTAAGGGTGGCTTAAACACGTGATTGTCTCACAGTTCTGGAGGCTGGAAGTCCAAGATCAGGGTGTCGGCAGGGTGTGTTTCTGGGGTGTCTCTCCACAGCGTGCAGCTGGCCACCCTCTTGCTATGTCCTGGATGTGGCCTTTCCTCTGCGCTTGGGCATCCCTGGCGTCTTAGTGTCCAGATTTCCTCTTCTTATAAGAACACCCTCATACTGGATTAGGACCCACTTCAAAGGCCTCATTTTAGCTTCATCACCTCTGTAAAGGGCCTATCTCCAAACACAGTCACATTCTCAGGTATAAAGGTTACAGGACTTCAACATATGAACTTTGTAGGGATAATTTCCTCTCTCCTGCCCACTCACAGTGACTTAGAATACTCTTGAGGGTGTCTCCATCTATTTTGTATTATATTTCATTATCTGGAAAAGCTTATTAATCTTCTAAGCATTTCGTTCCTGCCTCAGGAGCTTCATATAAACCAAACACCTAGACAACTAGGTTTAATACAGTAAAGCAGGTAACTAGCTGCTGGTTTGATAATGTGGACTGTAGCTCTCTGGAAGCTCAAAGAAGAAAGACAAAGGTATAGTGGCTACATTGGTCTGGGAGGGCCTCAGGAGCATGAGGGGTTAACAGATGCTCACATAAGGCCTAATATTTAAATAGAGGTTCTAAACCTTAGCAGTACATCAGAATTATTTGGGAGATGTTTAAAACTACTGGGCCCTTGGCCGGACGTGGTGGCTCACGCCTGTAATTCCAGCAGTTTGGGAGGCCAAAGCAAGTGGATCACCTGAGGTCAGGATTTGGACACCAGCCTGACTAACCTGGGGAAATGCCGTCTCTACTAAAAAATACAAAATTTAGCCAGGCATGGTGGCTCATGTCTGTAATCTTAGCTACTCGGGAGGCTGAGGCAGGAGAATCGCTTGAACCCAGGAGGCAGAGGTTGTGATGAGCTGAGATTGTGCCATTGCACTCTAGCCTGGGCAACAAGAGTGAAACTCCGTCTCAAAACAAACAAACATAAACAACAAACTACTGGGCCCGGCTAGTGGCTCATGCCTGTAATCCCAGCACTTTGGGAGGCCAAGGCAGGTGGATCACCTGAGGTCAGGAGTTTGAGACTAGCCTGGCCAACCATGGTCAACATGGTGAAACTCCATCTCTACTAAAAATACAAAAATTAGCCGGGTGTGGTGGCAGGCACCCGTAATCCCAGATACTCAGGAGGCTGAGGCACAAGAATCGCTTGAACCCGGGAGGCGGAGGTTGCAGTGAGCAGAGATTGCGCCGCTATACTCCAGCCTGGGCAACAGAGGGGAGACTCCCTCTCAGAAACAAAAAAGAAAAACAAAAACAAGAACAAACTACTGGGCCCCAGAGATTTCAGTTTAATTGATCTGGGTGAGTATTTTCCATTGATTAAGAAAAAAATACTCTCCAGGTAATTAGAATACACAACTAGGGGCCGGGTGCAGTGGCTCATGCCTATAACCTGAGCACTTTGAGAGGCTGAGGTGGAAGGATCCTTAGGCCAGGAGTTTGAGACCAGCCTGGGCAACACAGCAAGATTCCCCCGCACCCCCCTCCCCTCCACGCACATACCTGTCTCTATGTTAAAAAAAAAAAAAAAAAGAGAGAATATCTGACTAAGACTGAGAATCGCTGGCCTAAACGGACGGATGTGCTTAAGGAGGGCATTCATATTCCAGGTAAGCAGGAACCTTCTAGGGGAGGCAGCCAGCAGGAATGCCACAGGATATTGAAAGAACACGGAGAAGGCAGACTTGCTGGGAGCTGAGGATGTTTTAAGGGTCGTTGAAAATAAGTTTACACAGGTCAGAGTGAAATTACGTGAGGCGTATGGAATCTACATCCAACAAGAAAGGCGGAAGGAAGATAGAAAGCAGGTTGGCAAGCCCAACTGGTTGGTTACTACAGACAGGTGTGAGGTCCTGAGGGTACTGGATGGAGATGCAGAAAGGATCATAGAGAACATTGGGAAGGGGCCTGGCGTTGTGGATCACGCCTGTAATCCCAGCACTTTGGGAGGCTGAGGCAGGAGGATCTGCTGGAGCTCAGGAGTGCGAGACCAGCCTGGGAAACATGGCAAGACCTTATTTCTGCTAAAAATAAAAATAAATTAGCCAGATGTGGTGGTGTATTCCCATGGTCCCAGCTGTTCAGGAGGCTGAGGTGGGAAGATAGCTTGAGCCTGGGAAATGGAGACTGCAGTGAGTGGTA